TTTGTTGGTGTTGCTTATTTTTCTGTAAAGTTTTGTTTGTTTTGTGTGTTTTACTATTAAGATGGTCATCAACTGTCGACTTTCGTATCCAGTCTATTGAGTGATCACAAAAATTACAAAATAAAATTTCATCGTTAACTCTAAATTCACCCGGGTTTTCCTCAACCCTAGTATGAGCCGTAACTTTTGATACTTTGCTTTTTTTTTTACTCATTATAATAGATAAAAATATGGAATAAAATTTTTATAACAATATTGTAAGTGTAAAGATTTTTATTTAGTTACCAATAACCCGAAGACATCTTTTATTAATTGAATTTATACTTTTTTACAAAATCAGAACAAATCATAAAAATTCATACATAGTATTATTATTATTATGTATTATTTTTTTTTTTGATTACTAATTCTTCGTCTCATTTTTCAATTATGAATTCGAAACATTCTCTTTAGTTTTTCATATTCCTTCTATACAATTTTACTACTTTAATATTATTATCTTAAACTCGCGCAACTATAAATTTTTATTACTTGTCTATTTAGGTTAGCTGTTTCAAACAAATTATTGACCCAAATTACAACTAACTTTAACAGTTAAAATTAAAAAAAATCTGTACAGTGCCCAGTGCCAAGTAACATAAATTAGCTTTATTACTTTAAGAAAATCATTACCACCCTCATTATTCCTGCTTTCCGTGACAATTCTGCAATGGCTATGATCCTTTCTGTATTCGTAACCTTATTCCGTGATTTCTGCGGTATTCTGTGTAATGCAAAAAATCATTAGCCCTGCATAGGTATAGGTTAAGTTTCCCCATTTACTAGATATCAATAATTCAGTGTTATTATGTGACAGTTGTGCAGACACTTTTGGACATTTCTGAAAAAATAAATAAATCAAAATTTTATTAAGTCACTCTATTTTAACTTTTTAAATAAAAATATTTAGCACAATAAAAAATATATAATCATATATTTTTTAAATTAATATATTAATTTTTGAAGCTTGAATATGCTGTGGACATGTGGACGTTTGGACATTGAATATGATCTAAAAAAGTTTGGACATAGTAGACGTGACAACACTGATTGTATGTATGCTTAATTCCTTATAATTATTAATAATAGAACTTTGATCTATTCTTCAAACTCTATTTGGATGGCAATTCGTATTCACTTGAGTAATATTAACGATACCGTTTTATGATTTTAATTTTTGATATAATGATGATTACCAACGATCTTTTCTGACACCTAGCCAACACTGAACTCAGTTTTATTGATAATTGGGTTAATTTTATCATCGTTATCACACAATCACGGAGTCGTAATCATTATTTAAAAAAAGTCGATAACCATGGAGTTACATAGCAAAATAATGTTTAAGACTAGAAATGGCTTTTACATTTATCTTTTTTACTAGTGAAAATGTTATGTTCTCGAAATGCTGTTAGCTTGATTCTAGAATAAAAAAAGTAATGAGTGCTACTTTTTATAAAACACTATATGAGTACCCTGGGTAAAGGAAAAACACTAGCAAAAATTTTTGGATTATTATTTACGACCCAATTAATTGACTCAAATGAGCCAATCGTACAAAGTTTATCTAAGATTATGACTTATGGATCTATCCTCCAAAAATTAACGAATACAAATATCTGCCAAAACTAAAAATAGAATATACTGTAGAATTAATGTACATACTAATATAATTTATTCCTTATATACTTTGTACTAATATTCAAATGCTTAGTTCTAGGTTAAAGTTAGTGTTACTTTTTTGATGTAGTTGGTGTTATTATTTATATATAATATAATTTATACAGTATATAAATCCATACGTACGTACGTATTAGAGCTCTGCAAACCAGGCACTTGCTAGCAGTCTATTTATAACATTTATATATTTATAGATTTTATATTAGATATTATATTTATTACTTAAACTACAGATATTGCCTATTTAAATTCTCTGTAATATAGCTTTACTTGTATTATTAAATTATTTTCTATTATATTTATTAGTTAAGAAAGGTTCAAATTCTTAATCTATTTTTTTAGAACTATTGCTATATTATCAGATGATTTATCCTTAAGATATTGTTTGCTAGAGCTTCTATTATCTACTTTTAATATATAATTTAGACTTTTTAATTAGATGATTACTAGACAGATTTTATACTTTTATCAACAAGCTATATTGCTATCAGTATTTAAAATTACCTTGCACAAGATGCATAGTGCAAGTGATTTTTTTTTGTGTAAGAGAAGTTCTAAATATAAATGTACAAGTATGCAATTAAAATTCAATAAGAAGCTTGCACAAAAAATCAAGTGCAAGAGAAATTATAAAATTTTATTAAACAAAAATTTAGTAATTATAAATAGTTAATAAATAATTTTATTACAGAAGTTACTTACTATTTTAGTATTAAGGAAGTTAGTTTGCATTGAAATTATCATAATTTCTATTATAAATTATTTAAAAATTCTCTTACAAAACTTACTTATTATTCAAATTACCATAATAATAATTAAAATAAATTAGTTTATATTAAAATAATTATGATTTATTTATGATTTTCTAAAAAAATTCTATTATAATCTTATTTATATTTAAATTAAGATGAATTTATATTAGAATTAACATAGTATCTATCACAAATTAATATAAATAAAATCTTATTACAGGATTTACTATCATAAGTTATTATAAGTACAGTTTAACCTTTCTAAATGCAACATGTACAGATCAGTTGAAACCATGCATTTAAGGAGGTTTGCAATTAGAGAAAGCTAATCAAATTGCAGTGTTTAATATTTGATTTGCAGGTTTGTGTAATATAATTTAATACTAAATTCTGATTATACATGCTGACGAAATTATTTTAGGTTTCGGGATACGAAATTAAAATTTGAAGACAAAATTGTTTTTGATCTATTTTACTTAAAAGATAAAATTTTTTGATATTTTTTTGAAGAGACAAAATTATAAGGAACATAACTACCTAAATTAGATTTGAACTTGCATATAAAAAATTTCAAATTGCTTTAATAGAGATGGAATAGAGGTTTTTTGAAAACCTATTTCAGTGCTATATATAATTCTGATTGGCTATCTGCATTTAGAAAGGTTAGTATAATATAAAAAATCTTTTGAGTGAACTTGTATTTACAAAATATAGAATATACATTTAGTACTAATGATTTTATATAGTCAAGACAAAAACGTGCATTTAGGGAGGTATTGCATTTATGAAGATTGCATTTAGAGAGGTTTGACTGTAATCTTATTATAGAACTTGTTATTTTGTTAGCTATAATATATAATTAAGATGTATTAGGTTGTATTTGAATAATAGTGATTTTTATTTGAACCTTATGAAAAAAAAGTTAAATAAATTTAGTTTTATAATAATGTACTTTGTATTAAGTTAAAAAAAATAATAATATCAGAAAATTTTAGGATAGTAGATAATGAATATAAAATATGAATATAGTTATTGGAGAGTTTTGAAATATAAAAAAATCTTGTAAGATATAATAAATTTACAACAATGACATCATTTAGAGATAATAAATATATGTATATAAAAAAAATTTATATACACATGTGCAACTAGTAGTTAGTTTGTGTAATTAAAACCTATGCTATAACTACAATTGTGCAAGTAGGTTTTGATCTAGGAATGGATCAGTTCTGAAAAGACCAAATAAGAACCAATCTTTTTAACCAGTCTTATGATTAACTGGTCCTCATGAATAATTCAAATAACTAATTAAAAAATATATATGTTACATAATCTTTTATTTTCAATTACTGATAGGGATGTTAACAGTTCAGTCTGGTTCAGTCTGGTCTTTTTTTTGTCTAGTTTGATCCAGTTTTTAATAGTCTATAGTCTTAAGATTTAACTGGTCTAGTCTGGTTCAGACTGGTCTGGTCTTAATACTAAGAGCGGACCCAAAGTTTTTAGTTTCAGACTATTCTTAGACTAACCATGGTTTTTCAGTTTAGACCAGACCATATAACATCTCTAATTACCGATGTCATATGATTTGATTTTCTCCACTAGCCAATAAGATTAAATAATTAAGGACCGTTATTGGAACCGAGGACTGGACTGAAAACATTAATAGACCGGACGGACTGGACCAGACTTGTCCATCCCTATTTCGATCTGAATTTTAAACACTGATTGCTATTATTTTTGTAAATAGATATTTATTAAATAGATTTTATATTTTTATAGATAGACTATATCACTATTATTATTTAGCTTTTGTAAAGTTTAACTAAATTTTAGTACTCCTTTTCAAGTTTATTCTTTTTAATAGTTCTCGATCAATTCATTGACAGTCACTTCACCGAATGCTCATTTAGCCGACATCACATAGGGTTAGTTAGGGTTAAGCAGTTGATAAGTTATCAGGTATATATTTTTACTAAATTTCACCTGGAGTGATGTCGCTGTCGGTGAAATAATACAGACCCAGCTCATTTCACCAACAGTACGATTCACCGACAAGTGATAGATACTTATTTCAGGGTATGTAGTAAAGTAGTACGGTATAGAAACGCGAATTAAGACAGACGTGTAGAGATCATGAGAGCACGTACGGTTTGTAAAAGAAAAAATTCGTCAAACCCAAATTACTTTTACTACTAACTCCAACATGAAAAAGGACAATACTAGCGCCCACCCTAAACCTAACCATTAAAAATGGCTACTTATAAAAATTGAACTGTCGGTGAATCGTATTGTCGGTGAATCGTGCTGTCGGTGAAATGAGCTTGTCGATAAAGCGTATTGTCGGTGAATCGTACTGTCGGTGAAATAAACTTGTCGGTGAATTGATTGTTGGTGAAATGAACGGCATCATTTTTGCCGTCCTTATTTCATTGACAGTTTATTTCACCAAGTTTTTTTCATAAATTTTGCTAGTCGGTGAAATAAGTGCTGGAGAAACAAAAATGTCGATGAAATATGAAGAGAGAAGAGTAGAAGTGATATGAAGTATGAGTAATAAGATTTTGTAAAAGAGAATGTAATGATATTAATATATCGATATGGAATATTAATAGATCCGTGTGTATATGATGTTCACACACAATGATAATATACTGATTTGATATATTTGAATATTTTTGAATAACTGCGGAGATATTATTTTCATCGGTACTTAGATGTAGTCTTCTCAGCAGTGACCTGC